AAAAAATGTAATGAACAAAAATGTAGCTTATAAATAAGCAAAGAAAATCGTTTTTTAAAATATTCAAATCGATATATTCAAAGTCAAATAACGGAAAAGGGATTAATTTTACGTGTATATAACGCTCCTGTTTTACGTTTTTTGTAGTTCTCAAAAAGACCTTCAAAATGAGCACTTATAAAAGTTAATTAGAGCAAAATTGAAGGAGTTATCGTCAAAAACAGATGGGTTGCTCATATTTTTTAAGGAAAAATGAGCAGTGATCGCTGTACCATTTCCATCAGAATTAACATTAATCGTAGACCCTTTACAATTAGTTTTGTTTTACAATTAGTGTTGTTCATACGATCCTGAAGTTAGACCGGTTTAGAATGCGTCTTTTTTTAATAATGTACGGTAAAAGTTGAAAACGTATTTTTCCTTATTAAAAAATAATTGCCTTATTTATATAATAACTCTGAAACTATGAAAGATACGTAAAAAATGATAGACAACAAAAATTTAGCTCTTTTTCGACAAATATTTTGTTTTTTTATTCCTATAGCATAAAAAATAAAAGAAATCGCCGCTTGAAGTATCCATTTTAGTGAAAAAACAACCTGTCTCGAGCCCTTCGATCCTTTCCCTTTAAAAAACGAAGAACTTAAAAGGTTTTATATGCAAACGATCTTACAGCTCTTGAAATTATCTTTAAAATGCCTTTTTGTAGGATACAATGGGTTCAAAATTAACCGAGTTATGGTAAAAAAAAACCAATGACATTTTTTCGGAGCAAAATAGGCTTTCTCATTTTTGGAGGAACAAAATGATAGGATTCAAGTGCGCGTCAGCGTGAATAAACAATATAAGGGAATTTTTATTTTAAATTATTGCACAATTAGGTATAGCATTCCAAGATTTAAATTTTTTATCGGTTTTAGCACAGGGGTGATTTAAAAAGTGTTATGAGATACAAATTCTTTCATAAGCAATGAGGGAATTTTTATTTTAAATATTGCACCGTTAGAGCAATCCAAGCTTTTAAAAAGTAATTTTTTATCATTTTTGTCAATACAGGGGTGGTTTTTAGGGGTTGAAATGGAAAAAATCTTTTATTAGCTATAAGGTAACTTTTATTTTAAATAATTGCACGATTTAATCATTCCAAATCTTTAAAAAGTAATTTTTTATCATTATTTTTTGCATAGGGGTAGTTTTTAAGGGTTAAATAAAGGGTCGAAAAGATCAAATATATCATAAAACATGTTCGAGAACATGGAACATTATTTAATCTTTGTGCTTGAACAAGATTTTTATCAATAAAATGCTTAAAACTTAATTTTTTCAATTTTTTTCACTTAGGGGTAGTTTTTACCCCTAAAAAACAAAAACCGTCAATCGGGCTTATGTCACTTTTGAACTTGAGCCTAAGATGAGCCTTATTCCAAATTTTCATGCAAATCCATGCAGTTTCAAAGAATTCGAAGGTTACAGCTGATTTTCAGCTTCAATGACTGTACTATTATTGTAATCAAACCACTGCATTTAAATATAATTTCCACCAAAATAACTGGATTAACGGATACTTATCCAGCCCAGCACTACACGCCATACACCACGCCACGATTTGATCTAATGGTGACGATGAGAATAGGCAAAGACAACGAACGACAACCATAGAATAAGGACTTTTACTCCGATTTAACTACAAGTGAACCAAATACGTGTTTATCTGCAGATTTTATTTAACGGGTTGCAGCAGGTGTACCAACTTTCAAATATATAAACGCCTTGCTTATGAAGCAGTTTTTGAATATATAAATATTCATATATTCCATCAAAAGTAATTATAACCATCAGTTTATTGTTACATCAATAATTAATGAAGAACTGTGAAAGCAAAATAAGATGCGTGCATAAAGACTAGCAGTTGTAAATAAACTTTAATTATTGTAAATTAAATAATAATAGCGAACTCACAATGCAGCGAAACATTAAACAAATGCCATTTGGTATTTTCAAAGCGAACAAATGCTATAAAATTCAATGAAACAGAATTGAATAGGAAGGAACATAAAAGAATTGGATACAGACGAGGTGAACCTACACTTATTATGTAAATACTCATGGTCTGCATGGCAGTTTTGTTCTGATATGTACACGTACATTTTCCTGTAGCATGAAAACGAGAAGATAATCTAGAAATAGACTTTTCTTGCAATATTTTAAAGGTCAGGTGTTCAAAACTAAGTCACTAAACTAATTTAAATTTTACTAATTGTGTAATATCAAAAAGTAAGGATATTACCAATCGTTTGACCTCTAAAAGTTGCCTAAAATTATTCAAAGGTCAACAACATAAAGTGCAATAAAACGTGGGTAGATATTATTTTTTATAATTAAAAATCTCGTGATAAGTACAGGGTGTTTCACATAAGAACCGACACAGATCGGGGACATGTAGGAGAACCCAAAATATGGTGATTTAACTCAACTTACCCCCGAGAAATTATAGTCCTTGAAAGTGGAGTTTCAAATTTCGGTTTCAAAAGCGTATTTTGAATTCCACTAGTAAAACTATCAAAAGGAGGCTCATTTTCTTTGTGAGACATCATTCTATTAAAAATTTCTAGTGCAACTTTAGGACAAGTTAGTATTAAAAGGCATCAGCCATCAGCAGTAAATTTAAAAGCATCTGCATTATGTTGAAGAAAATCTTCGACATATCCTTCAGCTATTGGTTAGTTTTTTCTAATAGGAAATGAACAAGTAGTATATCACCATTTTCTTCTATATGTATGCTCTATGCACATGTTTACTAGTTCAACAATTTGCACCTATCAGCAACAGCAATAACAGCAACCACCTAATCATTAAACAATACTTTAGTAAAACGACCAAATTAATTTGTAGTACTTAAATGTCAAAATGTTTCCATTCTTGAAAACAGATACTATACTTTGCAACCCTGAAAACTATTGGATTACCATAAAATAATCAAAGAAATATTTTGCAGTATTAACTACTACATTCTTTTATTTGTACTTATTCAAAAATATAGAAAAATACGAAGAAATAAACAATTATTACCAAAATACAGGGTGGTTCACAAATGGTGACCAAAAATGAAACCTCGTATTCTTTGGTGAATTTTTAAGGGGAGTCTTTCCTATAAATTTTCTGTCTAGGACGCTTCGTTAAAAAGATACAAAGTGTAAAACTTCAAAAAATATGTTTAATTTTTAAAAAAAAAATTTAAAAACTACTCAGTGAAATAATTGGAAATTGGGCACATGTATTTACGTAAACATTGTCCAAAATATGAGGGCTCTTCCTAAAACGTGCATGCTCCAATGGCGGAGATACAGGGTATTGTTGGTATGTGTTTCTAAATAAAATAGTACGCCATTGCTTTACGATAACAACCATGATATTTAGAAATCTTATTTCAATTATCTACTTTCGAAAAAAGCCTAATTTTCGAGTAAAGCTTCAAAAACCAACTGAAAACATTTACTTAAATGATATGACAAGCACTAATCATTAGGTTATTTTATTGGAATTAAGAAATTATTAACATCACTTTAATGATTTTATTTGAGTAAATGCTCAAAAATACCTCCATTTCCACGAACACAGGCCCGACATCTTTTTAGTAACGAAAATGTAATTTGTTCGAAATTTATTGTTGCTTGAATCTGATGAAAAGCATTATTTATTATTTCTTCTAACTTCTCAAAATGTCAAAGTTGCTATCGCAGCCCACCACAGAGCACCTAGAGTGTACGTTTCCTATCCCAAAGCATGGGAACTGATGAAGCCAAATTGCGGGGAAGTGGAGTGTGTGAGGTAATCTGACCGCGCATACTTTGATCAGGTCCGGATTAAACAGTATTTTTACACTTATGGCAAATATTCATTTTTCAAGTTTGGAATTCAGAAAATAATATATTTTAATGTTTTGTTTAAATAAACCCAAAACGGTACCGCTGTTGTATCACTACAATTATGAGTGGAAAAGTGACATTTTTGAAATGTATTTGCTTCTTTGATTCATTGGTAGAACTGATTCTTACGTCAAAAAACCTGATAGTCTGTAGCAATGTAAAACCACACTGTTTACCAATAAATTCGTGAATTAATTCATGAAGAACTTCGTCAATTTATTCATCAATAAATTGTCAATGTAAAACAGCTATTAAAACACGAAATAAGTACATGTGAGATGGAGAATGCTGCGCGAAGCCGTTCAAATGGCATAAAATATTTTATGTTATTACTTACCTAAATAATGAAATTTCAGCACTGTTGTGATCAGATCTGCTATTACAATCGTCAACGATACACTGCCCCATGATTGCACAAATAAAAACAATATATTTAATGAAGTACTAACAATGTTAGCACATCGATTGTCTAACGACGACTGAGAGCGCGAGGCTGGCTGGGCTGAGATTGGGCTGACGGTTGGCTTCACCGGCTTGCCTCTACAGTTCAGTCTATTTTGTCTATGGCAGCCCACTATGTAATTTTAAAAAGCATTATATTCGTGTGTTTTCAGTTCATTTTTTAAGTTTTACTCGAAAATCAGTCTTTTTTCGAAAAACATAAGAGAGTAGTAATTTGTAGAAAATTGAAAAACGAATCCGAAAATATCACGGTTGTTACCGTAAAGCAGTGGCGTACTGTTTTATTTAGAAAAATATGCCACGGATACCCCGTAACTCCACCACTGGAACATATAAATTTTAGGAAAAGCCCTCAGATTTTGGACAATATTTACATAAATACATGTGCCCAATTTCAAATTACTTCACTTACTAATTTTTAAATTACTTAAAAAAATTCAAAATGTTTTTTGAAGTTTAACACCCTGTATCTTTTTAACGAAGAGTCCTAGATAACAACTTTATAGGAAAGACTCCCCTAAAAATTCACCAAAGAATGCGAGGTTTCATTTATTAAAAATAAATTATTATTTCTAATGCGTTTCAAAAGACTTATCATCCCCTTTTTTTTAGAAGACGGAAGAGCGATCCCTTCCCATAGCCGTCCGCATCCACCGCACCCTCGAGCTGGCCGACGACAAGTTCTACGTCATCACGTGCGGCAAGGCGGGCTTCCTCAACACCTCCCTGGTCTCCCTGCGTCTCACGGAAGGCACCAGGAAGGTGATCGAAGCAGTCTACCACCGTTCGTACACCCTAAAGGTGGAAATTCTGAGACCGGACAGCACTTACGGCTTCCGGGTGAAGAACTGCCTGGCCTTCAACAGACCCAACAGCACGGAGCAGTTGGTGGACCAGAGGGGCTGCCCCGTCGGGAACATCATCGATCCCTTCGTCTACGACGAGAAGAAGGGCATCGCTGAGGCTCAGATCAAGTCGATGTTCAGGTTTCCCGACAACTCCGAAGTGCATATTCAGGTAAAGTTTATTGATTTTCGAAAAAGCATTAACTGAAATGTGAAAATAGTAGCAGTTGTACGCGTATGACACGCATTGACACGTCTCAGATGGAATCAAAACCCGTCTTGCCGATTTTTTAAAAACTCACTCTATACAATCTTGAAGTGTTGACAACATTTTTAGTAAGTTCACTTCATTAATATTTGAACGTTTGTAATAAGTATATTACGCATTTATCTTTAAAATAATAAATGACATTTTAAAAGTATTATTTCAAAATTGAGTGTTGATTAAATCTTTGTAATGTTGCATCAAAAAATTCTTTATTATGTGTTCTGTTCTTGGAAAGCAAGGTGTGAAGCTATATGCAAGTATTTAAATAATATATTCTTTATAAATAGAAATCGAACAGCGATTTTGTAGGTGTGCCTCTAGGATACAAGAGATATGGATCATTTGTCCTCTAGTAATATTTCTCTTATTTATAATGAAATACTTTGATATATACTCGGATGAGGCACCGCACTTTGTGAACTTTTTCATTGTTGATTTTTCAAGAAAAAGTTATTCTTGATAAAAAGTTTTTCTTATCTTGGGAAGCCATGGGCAGTAATCTAATATGTAGTAAAACACGCAGGGCGTCCAAAAAATTTTAAAATGTGATATTTTCCCTAAGCAAAGTATCTTTAATTTTTGTTTTGATTAAAAATTGTATTTAACAAATTTGTTCGAGAACTCAAGAAATGCGTAAATAAGAACAAGCGATTTTTTAACTATCTTACTTAAAGCAGACAGAAATTGTAAAAAATATATTGACTTTGACATTGATAAGGAAATATCCATGGCAATAATATGGTATGTAATATACAGGGTATTAATGATAAGTTTTGCAAAACTTTAATGGCGTATTCTACCGATGAAAATAATCAAGTTTTGCCCTATAAAAAATAACTTCACTAGCAAAAAATATTTAGTGATAAAATTTGGAGGATAACATTTTTTTAGTAGGGACTATTTTTTCATAGATAACTTATTCCGAAATACACTCCAGTGACGTAGTTATTGGGGGAGTAGGGGACCTTTTTTGAAGTAAAATCGTACGCCACTGGTTTTTTAAATAATTTTAAATGTTTTTAAAATGTACAATCAATTTGTGGCAATAAAGTATTCTTGTAAAGTATTCGTAAAATTTACTGGACTTTAGATAATTGGGAAATCGAGTAAGAAGATACTTATGTGCCTACCTACGTTGCTATTTTTCATTTTCTGTTGATTGCTAAATGTGTAACAATAAATTCAATACCTAATATTTTTGAGAGATTTCAAAACACAATACAACATCACAAGAAATGTTCAAAATTGAATACCATATTTTTTTTATTAAAATCTGTTTTTAGTTGAATGAAAAATAATAAACTTTTTGCAACACACAAAAGAGTGGCGTTGTATAGTGTTTTGAAATCTCTCAAAAATATTAGGTATTGAATTTATTATTACACATTTAGCAATCAATAGAAAAGTGATAAATAGTACCGTAGGCACTTAAGGGCCCCATATTCTTTAAATAGTGTTTTCCGCAAAGACAAATAATTTCAAACATTTAATAACTGAATAATCTAAAACTTATCAAATAATAGGAATGTTATGTCATGCCACCTGAGTATTTTCAAAGACGCCGCAGTAAAACGAATAAACAGGTGCAAAAAACGATCAAACCATTAAGGTTTTAGGTACTGAAATCTACGAAAATACTATCTTTTTTATATATAATTCCACATGTAAATATTCTTATAACATTTACTTGCTTAGTC